GTTTAAATGATGGTGAAAAGGAATATGTTGAATTATGTATGCTCATCTAAATGGTTAGCATGAAGGAGGAGAACGTTTTGTTGGTGACTTCCTAGGAATTCAGTGTTCACATTGTTAAAAGATGTAAAAACTTATCACAATAGAACCAAGAAGATAGACGAAAAACCTGTTACTTTTACCACTTGATAGCTTTTTTAAAATATATTGTGTGAAATAAAGGTACAAAAATATTAAATGAGTTCGATGAGTACGTCTGATATGCTTAAAGTTTCCGGGATTGTCCCTGTGCGGTACACATTGTCGATGGTTCAAAGAGGTTGGCAGTACTGACGTTCTTAATGGACATGCTCTATAATTTATTTTTTATTTTATTTTTATTTTACTTTTTATTTTTTAATTACTGGATTGCACGATTGTAAGAAGCGGAGATCAGCTAAAAATAGAAGAAAAAGAAAAATTGATTAAATAAACTGCTTTAAGTACACAATTTTCTATCCTTTCGTAAGAAATAATAAAAAAAACTAAAAATGAAGTAAAACTCAGTTTTGACAAAAAATACATGAAAAAGAAAAAAAAATGACTCGATTCATACGTACACGTTGTCAGGAACAATAAAGGCTACTAGCACGAAGAAAAGAATTCCATTGAATAGTAGACGGTAACATGAGATAAACAACATTCACTAATAACATTTCCATAGTTATAATGACTGAGACGGCGAGGGTGGAAAAAATGAATACAAATAATAGCAGAAGCAGCAATGCAGCGATGAATCCTATATCCAATGCTTTTAGGTAATACATTTTTGCTTCAATATAACTTTATTTTCTTAGAGATGCATTACTTACACATACAGAATACATTTGCGCAAATGTTAAGTAATAAACGGTTGTATCTAAAAAAGCATATTTTATTGCTTAATAAAAACAGATTCTGTTCGGTAGATAATGGTTATAGGTATTATCGTTTTACAGAGTATAAGCCATCATTAAATATGGCAAGAATAATGTTGTATAATCTGTGAATATTGCTGTTGTATTCTCCAAAAATGTTTTTTTCTTATGGATGATAGGAATATACAGCTAAATGTATCGGTAAACTCTTATCAATTGTGTAATATTTATGTCATTTCAACAGATAAGTGAAGATATTCGAGTGACTCCTGATAGTCTTCTTTAGATGTTCAAGAGTATTATACATAATGATAAATCATATAGCATACTTATAATTTTGTTTAATATTAATTGATGATGGTAATTGCATAGAAATAAGACATATTTCTTTAATCATAAATCAAGGCATTATCAATATCTTTTAGCTCGATGGCACTGCATGCTCTCATCAGCGCATAATGATCTGTTGGAGTACATATTACATAGCAGTAAAGTGTTTGTTCGTGGCTACGAACTTATAAATATTGTCGGTTATATTATATCAATCCCAATCGTTCATAGTTCGATGTCGATTGATATAAATCAATAACCTTCCCATGAAATCGCATAGCTGTCGTGTAACTAGCTATCAAGGGTTAAAAAGATAAGGCAGTTTAGTTATTCGAAGTTACTACTGTTGAAAGTTAAGTTCTATAAGAATATACGAAAAAATAGAATTGTTTATGAAAGCTATCCTTCTTTATCTTGGCATTCTTGGCACGTTTCTGACCATAATGTACAAACTATTTTCGAAAATGTATGTGCGAAATATACCATCCTATCTTGTGTAGCATCCTCCGAGCTACAAGAAAGAACTTTCCACGAGAAATGATTGTGACCAAATGTAACCGGCGGTGAGTAAGAGTGTCTCAAAAATAAGGGTAGTCGTACAAAAGAACTTGAGTAATAAATGTCTAATAAATAAATTGGTAATGCTCAAATTTCTTTAGCAAACAATTATCATCATCTTGTGCAGGTAAATGTTGTTATGCATTAATCATTATCTTGAACCTGGCCAGATGGATAGATTTGAATGGTCTTTGGATAGAGTTACCACTGATGGTACAAGCTACACCTGAGAAATGGGCATTACCATCTACTTTAGCACTCACCATGAGCTTGGCTAATATATTCCCGTTAATTATTATCGTGTTAAGATGCTGGCTAAGGAATCGTTTTACGGAAATACCATTTATGTACGTAATTATTGTTGTTGGAATTTTTGCCTGTATGGCAATTGGTTTTGGATGGAAAATAACAATGTTCGTGCTCGGTGATGAACGGAGTATTTGTCTGATCATCTCGGTATTTTTATTAGCGATACTTGATTCCTCATCAACCTTGGTATTTACAGATTATATGAAACGGTTTCATCCGTCCTATTTAACTGCAATGTTTTTTGGTGAAGGTTTGACTTCAGTAGTGCCAACATTATTAGCATTATTGCAAGGCGTTGGTGGAGAAATCACATGTAGAAGAAATAATTCTCTAACTGATCAGTTTGAACCATTGTATAGTGAACCAAGGTTCAGTGTATCGATCTTGTTTTTCATATTATCCAGTATAATAACATGTTCGCTCATTGCATTTTTAATACTAAGATGGACATCAATTGTTTATGTTGCTGATGCTTTACAAAAGGTAAGCGGAAGCTGCCTTCGGCTATATTTAATTTATTTACCTTACATATTGTAGCTGACGACAAACAGTTATATTAGCGATGATAATGAGATGTTTCTTGTCAATGGTGGCCTCAAAACTCCAAAACAAAATGCTGATTTATCAACTAAACAGTTTTTTCTATTGTTATTCCTTTGTATAATAAACGCATCATTTATTTTGGGTATTTTACCATCACTTATTACATACGCATTATTACCATACGGTCAGAAAGCATTTTATTACTGTGTCATTCTGGGTCCACTTGCTTATCCACTGGCTGCTTGTCTCAATGCAAAAGTTCCAACGGTGACGACGACGATAATTGTTTTTGGATGTATAATAGGATGTCTCGGCTGTATATATATTGTAATAATCGCATTTCAAAGTCCATGCCCAATTATGTCAGATACAGTCCATGGTGGTATTATAATGATAGGCATTTGGTTGGTATCGTCATTTATCTTGGGATATATTTATATGGCAAGCGCTAATCGAATAAAACGTTCTTGGAAGAGAACTAGTGGGCTGTTTTGGCTTGGTGTTGCAGAGCAGCTAGGTACTTGTTTAGGTGTTATACCAATGTACCTCGTTATTAATACATTTAAATTGCTCAAAGATCGACAACCATGTCAAACATATTGTTTGTAAAGTTTATAACCTAATTTACACTATCTTGAATGTTTGTGAATACCGAGCAAGCACAACTACTCTGTGAGACTTTTGAAACCATATAAAGACCAAATTTTATTAACGGGATATACCATGTATATGTCGTGGCAATGTTAAGGGGGGGGGGAGGGGGTTCGATGAACTGATAAGTATTCGCAGAGTTATTAATTAATTAAGTTTAAATTTTAATGAAAATTTAAAGTCCTAGTCCTCATTTTAAAAAACTTGTAGCTTAGTCCAAAATAATCGTAGAAAAGTCATTTACGCATTGCTTGATAGTCAATG